CGAGGCAACTAACACATAGGGAATCGCACATTGGGGGTGTGATGCACATATACAGTTAAATGTGTTTCTATATGTTTTGCAACGAATGCATGTCTCATCCCGACTTTTGTTTATCTCCCTGATCTTTTGTCGTGCTCTCTTTTGCACTCTCTTGCTTTTCTCTCTTGTTCTCATTCTCTTTTTCTTGTTTTCTCTCTTTTCTTCTTTGCTTTTTCCTTTTGGTTTTCTCTTTTCATCATTTTCTCTTTTATTTGAATTATTTATAACCATGACCGGATCTGATGGGGATTGCCTACGTATCACGACATCGCATGAATTAGATCATCACGTAGTTCAAAAGATTAATGTGGAATAAACAAATTTTGGTTTTTTTTTCAAATTTTCATTAAAACAAAAACTTCTATTACAAAGACTCGATCATACATACTTAAGACTTGAAAAATTAAAATAGACTCAAAACAGACTCTAGTAATGAAAATATAGACTCGAAAGGAGAAAGGAAAACAATCAGGAGTACATAAGTGCCTCCAATCCACCCCTAGGGACACCAATTGGTCTTGTCGTGGGCCTACGTGCCATGTCTTCTTGGAGGTGATAGAGGTCATCCATTATCTGGTGAACAAAGATCATTACTGTGGTGAAGAACATGGACCTGGTCATGTCCTCACACTCGTTGCACTATATCACAATGTGTCGGCGATTCTTCTAACCCTTTCGCTGATGATGCCCTTTTCTTGTAACAACCACCCAATCTGCTGAGATCTAGCCTCCAAAACATGGGTGACCACATGATTCTGTTCTTGCAAATGTTGTAGGTCCTCCTCTAGCTGTGCCATCAAAGCGTAACAATGTTATCTCTCGGCTTTCAAGCTCTTGGATTGTTTAGTCATTTAACCCTCAAGGCTATTAAGCTCCTTTTTCAAGCCCATGCCCCTTATGTCATATCTTTCCTTCAACTGTCGAAAAAAAATTGCCCGTTCTTCTGCATTTTTGGCCAACTTTGTTCAGGCTTTTGCTAGCTCAGCCTCAGACCTTTGCAAATCATCCTCATAGTCACGTACTTTTTACGTAAGGCTGTAGATGAGCTTTTCATATTTTCTGCTTCTGCCCGAGGTCTCAGCTACTATTCTCATCTTTCAAACTTGGGCCTGGAGAGCTTCATTTTCTTTGGCTAACCTTCTTCTTTCACCTTCAGCTTCTTGTTCATGTAGATCATTATTGAATACGATGTTCCTCAATTCTTCTTGCAAAGCGTGAATGGTGGCTTGATATTTTTTATCCTTCTCTCCCCAGACCAACCTTTCTCGGATTTTATCATCAAAATCTTGAACATGAGGTCTTTTGGCGGGCCTTTTAGGCTCAGGCTCTGGCTCATCATTCGCACAAAACCTTCTCTCAAACCACACAGCATAATTTGGATCCACTTCTCCTCTCGCAAGATCTGGTACCTAGGTGTCACTTTTTAGATATCGGCAACCATTCCAATCCTTTTGGACTAAAGCCTCAGGTAGTGTTGCTTATGGGTGTAGCTCAATGACTTGGGTACTCAAATCTACCTCTTCGGGTACCACTTGATATCTTCCCAGTTGCCTTAGAACTCTTTGCTGTGCATATAGTTGGATACTCCTCAGGCCCATCATCATCAAGTAGCCTTTTGAAGCTGTCATATATATGACTTCCGTTACCGGAAGCCATCCTATGGTCCATTCACTTTGACTTGCTTTCAGAGTTCTTAAATGGGAGACCCAGGCCCCAAACCCTTCTGGAGATTTGTAGTTTTCACCCTTTCCTCATAATTCTTGATAAAGTTGTTCCTGTTCGAACCATAACTCATGAACTTGGGGTGACGGCAGAGATGTTCGATCAACCACATTTGAACCCTCAAAGAATTGAGCCCCAGATTTACACAAGGTTAATGCTCGATAAATGTCCACCAGCACTAACGGAACAAGTGTGTGATCTTTATTGGAAGTGAATATTTGTGCAATTCTGGCCATACGAGTATCTATTGTCCCTTCTACATTGGGAAAGACCATGATTCCCAGAAACGCCATAATGAAAGCAAACTGACGATGAATATGTCAGGTGCTCTTATCTTGTTCGTTGTTTAATCCCTTTTCATGCATTTCAAACCCAGCTGAGTGCCCGAACCTGAAGTATAAGAAGTAGAGAGAACAACATCCCTTGTTTGCATGGGCCTTCTTCATTTGCTTACTTATATTCAGAAGATCAAAGAACTTGTGCCCAAAGGGAGCCCTCGGGAATATAAGTTAATGTTTCCTCATGTCCTAGCCAAAGTCAATGTATCCGGCCATTTCCTCTAGAGTAGGGGTGAGCTCGAAATTCGAGAAATGGAACACGTTGTGGACAGGATCCCAAAAGGTTACCAAATTTTTGATTAGATCCTCCTGGGGTTCGATGCTCATGATGTCTATAAGGGAACCCAGCTACACTTTTACCCAATCCTGGCCATCTTTATCTTAATCATTCCACCACATGTGGAGCTGCAGTTGAGCCTGTTCTATGACCAATTATGACGGGTTCTAGACAGTATTCATTTGTACCTATGGAGGGTTAAGGTTAGGGTTGACTCTGGTGGACTCTTTTTGCAAAACAAGTTTTTAATTTCTAAAAGAAAATCAACGGACAATGACCCCCCTTATGCTACTTTAGCAAAAATGGTCATTTTGTAAACGTGGCCTCTTCGCAATTCCAAACAAATTTTGAGGCCGGGGGAAGGTATTTTATGGAAAAAGACACCTTACATATAGACTTGCCCATTCTTCACGAAAAATAGCCTTTCGACAATTGGAAGATAATCTAAGGCTATCCCGGCAAGGACGAGTTAAAATACAACCGAAGCTGGGTCGGCTTATTCTTTTGACCAAAGCCCTAAACTACACTTTAGTTGATTATTTTTGTAAAAAAAATGAGGCCGAACCTTATGTGGGTTGCCTACGTATCCCACATCCGGTGAGAATCAGACATGCGTAGTTCGGTCAATTTTGACATAAAAACATAATTGTTGGCTCACTTTTTTTAAAATACATTTTCCTTTTTCCCTTTTTTCAAAAAGTTTGGCTGAGTTTTGAGACCTTTTCAAATATTGGGATTTTCAGAACCGGGTGAATTCTCTATCCTACTTCACTCTTGGTTTTTCTCTTTATTTCCTTTTCCTAACCGGTCAATATGCAAGCCGAAACAAATAAATATTCACATAGCACATAGGATGCATCAGGATGGTCTTTATTTTGGGTACACCTGTGCTAGACGGACCTAACCCCTGTGTTGAGTCCCCAAGGTCTAATGCACGTGATGCAAATAAACGTTCCTACTAGGGATCCAGCATGAGGTTATGTTATTCTAAGTGTAAACCTAGGGTGTTGTTCTAGACCTGGCTTACTCGAGCGGACAAACTCGAGTCGAGGAGGGGGCAATGAACCAGGAGCACGAAAGTCTGCCCGACCTTGTTGCTTGTCCAGCCCCGTTCTATTTGGTATAACTCTAACAGAAAAGTGGGTCATGCGAACGTGAGCACCGTTTTTTTAGAAGACTCAGAAGGGAGGCGTAAGAATACAGTTCAAGTAATATCAAAGCGGTAAATGGCAATTAGCAATTAAGTCCACAAAATACAGTAATATCAACAATAAAGCCAAATAAAAATCACATTAACAAGCTCGAATTCTTGAACCCCGAACCAGAGATTCTGGGTTTGATCCCCAGTGGAGTCTCCAGAGCTATCACACCTCCTTTTTTCCACCCGAGAGGGCATATATGGGAGTTTTTCCAGTTAAAGTGACATTAATCGAGATGGGATTATTTAGTTTATTAGAGTCGCCACTTGGAATAATTTATTTGGTGTCTCAAGTCACTGGTTTGTTTTGAATCCCAAATCAAGGAAGTTTCAAGTTTATTTAAAGTCTGAGAACCAGAAATTCTAAGTAAGGAATTCTGTTAATCCGGGAGAAGGCGTTAGGCATTCCCGGGTTCTGTAGTTCTAGCACAGTCGCTTAGTGATTATTACTTGGCTTAAATTGTTTAACTACTTATTTTTAGGACCTATGTACATTTATCTTTTGACCGCTTTTAATCACTTGATTCATTCGTAATTAAAGAATTAAGTTACGCGTACGTATACTCTTTTCTTTTGGCGCATCAAAAATCATGTCACGCGAACGTGTCCACAATTAATAATGCTTTGTTTATTTTATTAAGAAGAGTTTCGTTGAAGTTGCACGAACGCACCCTCGAGTTACTTTTTTTAGAATTAAATTCGCAAATATGTTACGCGAACATATGCATAAGCACAATAATAGTCTGAGTCGAGCCTAAAACAAACTACAAGTGTTTAAGGTTATTTTAACATCTAAATTGTAATACCAATATGAGGGCCATAGATGATTTAATTAGGATGGCACACCTCAACCATTTAAAAGAATTACACTTAATGAGGCCTAAGGATATTCTTACTTACAACTATTTTGGATTTAAAACTATTGATTATGGGTAAGGAAATATAAAGCAGCCTGTTATATTTTTTTTTTGAAAAAGAACTGGGCCAGTAGCAGGCCCAGTATACTATCAAAACAGGCATTAAAGAAAAAGGGAGTGAAGCCATCACCAACTGGGCTCCAAAATTAAGCCCAGACGTGGGACCAAGGGACAAAACTGAATATTAGGGGTCCAATTTGACTAGGAGTCATGATTTGGGCCATCTGCAAGCCTAATTGCATTATTCAGAATAAACTATTTATGAAGAAAAGATATGTTGATGAGGATTTGGCTCAAATTTGAGCCTAAAAGAGAGAAACATGAATAACTAGAAGTCAACGAGCCTGGCCATGATCCAGGCAATCTCATTTGGGCCGGATCCAACCCCAAACTTAGGCACGAATGCATCAAACATTAAGGCCCCACTGAGGCCCACTGACTACAATGCACATATAGCAACAACATAATATGCAGATTATGAAAATTACAACACCAAACAGACTATGTTATAAACCTTAAAATTATTATATTGCTACTAATGCTAACAACATGAAATTGAACTATGAAACTACTCATTAACTATACTACTACATATAAACTTGTTCTATCAAAGTTACAATTTTGAAAAATATACACATGCTAGGTACAGTGTTTCAAACATATGTGAGCCAGCATTTTTTATTACAAACAAATTATTAGAAACCTATACTAACTTGAAATTTTACATATTTCAGAACAACCAAACTAGCAGACCTTCAGCATATAACATTTCCTACTAGACAAATAGCCATCCAAACACATCCAAACCACATCAATACTACAGAAGACTAAAACTAATAAAGGTACTGAGAAAACATGGGAATAAAATTAAAAGGGGCGCATTTCATTAGATCTTCAATTTTCAGCTACATATTGCCAATAGAACGACAGGCTTGCACTTCAAAGATCATGTAAAGTCCAAAAAATACCTGGATATTGAAACAAAGCAAAAAGGAAATGATAAGTTCAACAAGCAAAGAAGTATGAGTAAATCAGCAGCTCAACAGCAATATTCAGCTCCTTAGATCAATCTTAAACCCAGAAAAACAGAAGTCCTTCGAAAACTTTTATGTTCTTACTAACAGGGACAAAACAAGGAACAATTCTCAACCATTTTCAACCAAATAATGTCGAAACTTTAAGTATTTTTTAGGGTTTGAATTTCTGATGTTTCTTTTCAGAACTTTTAGGCAGAAGATGATGTTGAATGTGTGTGTGTGAGTGAGGGAATGTTTCCCTTTTATAGAGTGTACAAAAAGGCATCAAAAAAGCATATTCTAACCTAAAATTCTGAACTTTCAGGATAGTACAGCATCTTTTTACAGCTGCTTGTCCTTTTCCTACCCAATTTCATCATCTTTTGCAACAGCTAGGACAGTTGTGCACCTTCTAGAAACTTCTCCTATTTTCATACCCTTTTTACTTCTGAAATTTTACCATTTACCCAGAAGTTCTGACTTAATACCTTTTCTTATTTTAATTTGATCCCTTATCTTAAATCAAGAAGCTTCTCATCTAAAAATCCTACTTCATATTTCCAAATTAACCTGCTAAGTTTTTAATTGCTCAATTAAGACCCTAGGAGTTTTTTACCAATTACAAATCCTTAACAGACAAAATCAAATGGGCAACTATCAGTATTTGAAGCAAACAATCAAAGTTAAAAGGGAAAACATCTGAAAATTTTGAAAAATAAACCTAATCTCTAAACTGAACCAAATTCATAAGAAAAACTTTACAAAGCTTAACAGACTATTAGTTTAATGATGAGCATGGGCAGACGGGTTAAACAAACAAACAAACAACTTGAATAACATTGAACTTAAACTAATAATGCACTAATTAAAACAAATAACTAACAATTTATGCTAATCATGCCGTCAGAGAAAACCAAAAGGGAATTAACAACTTATTCAAGACTTAGGATAAATTGATCAATGAATTGAAACTAAAATAATTACTCCCCAACCAAATAATTTTGAATGTGACCAATGATTGAAACAGGGATGACTATAAAAAAAATGAAGGCCAAACAGACTTATAAACTGAAAATTACCTAAAAGAAAACTGACTCGAATTTTGAGGAAAAGAGAAGGAAAATGGAGAGGTAAATGAAACCTTACCAACTAAGGAGTAGAAATTAAACAAAGCAGCTACTGAGGTCCGTCTCCAACTCGATTGACCAACAGAGGTCTTCTCTTTCAGGGTATTCAGTCTTGCATGGCTTTGACCGGATCTCCTTGAAAGAGAAGACTTCTAGTAGTCTAAATTTTGAAGGAAAACAATAAGGAGCTTGGATTCGAACAAAACAGAGACCCCTTCTTAGATTTGCAATTCCGGAGTTTTGAAGGGTTATTTGGAAAAATCAGTGAGGTATTTAGGAAGAGGAGGGTACAGGGGTGGCCTGGTGAAACTTTGGGTCGATTTGGAAGGATTAGGGTTTTTAGGCACCGATCTTAGATTTAAGATTCGAGATGTTTGGTGATGATTCGAAGAAACTGGGTTAGAGATTTGGAAAGGGGAGATGACGGGGGTTAACTAGTGAGAATTTAGGGCCATTTGGAGAAGTTCCACCGCCGTGAGGCGATTTCCGGCGGCGGAGGCGATGGGGGAAATTGGGGCGGCTATGGTTTCTTTAGTTTTGGTGTTAGAGACAACTGAGTGGTTTTGAATGGGGGGAGAGTGTTTCGGATAGTTATATAATTAATGGGCGGTGAGTTCGGAGCCGTTGGATCATAAAGATCCAATGGTCGTGATTGAGGGGGAACAAAACGGGGTCGTTTTGGGTTAGTAGGGTCTGGACCGGGTTCCCTGGGTTTTGGGCCTGGGGTAAGGACAGATTTTGGATTGGTTTTGGCTTTAAATGGCCCAAATTCTGAATTTAAGACCCCCTTTTCAATTAACCCCTTATTTCCTTTTTTTCTTTTTTCTTCTTTTTTTAACTAAAAATCCTAAATTTAAAAATTCTAAATTAATCTAAATTGCAAAATTAAACTAATTATCTAATTATCAAAATTACAAAAATTATTTAATCCTACATTAAAAGAGAAAGATCACTAATCTAAAAATTAAAAGGTAAAATATGTAAAAATGGGTCATTTTTGTAATTTATATTTTTAATGAAATAAATAATTAACTAATTAATCCTAAAAATATTTTTTTTAAAAAAACTAAATGCAATGCATGGTATTTTTGGCATTTTCATGATTTTAATAAGAATTAAACGTGCACAAAAATGCAAACAATTAACAAAAACTCCTACGAAATTCATATAAGATGGCAAATAATTGGAAAAAGTCTATTTTCTTGGATTTTTTAGGAGTAATTCATATAGGGCAAAAATCGCATGCTCACAACTATAATTGTGTTTTTCTTCCTTATTGTACATTATTTGCAATTTAAGCCTACTGCTAGTTTATGGAAGCATGTCTAAGTGACTTAATTGTTTTACTTGTTCAAACTGCTTTATTTGAATTTTGTGCAGCATGCTAGGTTAGAAATACCTGTTTTACCTTGGTATGAAATTGGATTGAATTGAATACTCTTTATGTTGCTGTTGTGTGTTTACTTTGGGACTACGGGACGATATCCCAGGAGATCCCCCGGCTTGTTTACTTTGGGACTATGGATCGGTATTCCGGTAGATCCCCCTGCACATTTATGATTGGGACTACGGGACAGCACCCGGTAGATTTCCCGTACTGGATATTTACTTTGGGACTACGAATTTGGTATTCCGGGAGATTTCCTTGCACATTTACGATTTGGACTGCTGGACGATATCCCAGGAGATCCTCTAGACATTTACTTTTGGGACTACGAGATGGTATCCCGGGAGATCCCCTGTTGCTATTTCTGTGTACTGAGTTAGATTCTTTCTGTGTTTTTATTTGTTATAGACTGTTAGCACTTTAAATATATTGTCGTATTCTATACTATTTGACCTTATTTTTAATCTATAATCAGTAGGGCCCTGACTTTCCTTGTCACTAGCTGACCGAGGTTAGGCTTGGCACTTACTTAGTACTGCTGTGGTGTACTCATGCCCTTTCTGCGCATGTTTTTCATGTGCAGATCCAGGTTCTTCGGCCTAGCTCTACCATCCTTGAGGCGAGGCAATTCTTCAGAGACTTCGATGTATATCTGTCGCGTCCGCAGACCAAGGAGTCCCTCTCCATTCTCTCTTGTAGTTTTAGCCCTTCTATATTTACTTTGATGTAGACATTCTGGAGTTAGATCACTGTGTAGTATCCATAGCTTGTGATTTTATGAGGTTCCGGATTTTGGGAGTTATTTTAGTTTGAGAGTTGGTATTGTATATGCCAAGCGGCATCTTAAACGCTTTAGTTATGTTTATTTAGCAGTTTTTGGCTAGTTTTTTATCTTTCGTTTTCTTGTTCCGCAAATCGTTAAGCTTACCTAGTCATAGAGACTAGGTGCCGTCACGACAGTTCACGGAGGGCGAACTTGGGTCGTGACAAGTTGGTATCAGAGCTCTAGGTTTATAGGAGTCATGAATCACAAGCCGGTTTATTAGAGTCTTGCGGATTGGTGCAGAGACGTCTATACTTATCTATGGGAGGCTATGTAACTATTAGGAAAATTCCATTTTATTTGATTTCCTTGTCGTGCGAGATTTTTGATATCACAATTCTAAGCTTCTGTCTTTTATTCTCTCACAGATGGTGAGCACACGTCATACCGGAGATGATCAAGCACTCGCGCCCCCTGCTAGAGTCGTTAGAGGCTGAGGCTGGGGTAGAGGCCGAGGACGCGCCCGTGGTGCATCCAGAGCACCCGTGCGAGTTGCCACAGAGGAGCCACCAAATAGATCCACTCAGGGTCTAGGCACCTGATACGCCTACTGCTACTACTATTCCAGCTCTTCAGGAGACTCTTGAATAGTTCGTGAGCATGTACACCACTCTAGCTCAGGCAGGGCTGATTCTCCTTGCTGCAGCCACATCCCAGGCCGGGGGAGGAGCATAGACACCAACCGTCGGCACTCCTAAGTAGCAGGTCTAGGTTGATCAGATCCCAAAGGTTATACTAGCACCGCTTGCAGTACCAGATCAGCCCGAGGATAGGGCGGCGGCTTCAGAGGATGAACAGCGGAGGCTTTAGAGGTTTAAGAAGTATAAGCCTCCTATATTCAATGGTTTAGCATCAGATGAAGCCCTGGGATTTCTGGAGGAGTATTACCGTATCCTCCGCACTATGGGTATATTAGGATCGAGTAGGGTTTCTTTCACTGCCTTCCAGCTTTGAAGAGCCGCCTACCAGTGGTGGCGTACTTTTGAGTTGGACAGTCCAGTTGAGGTAGCATCTCTTACTTAGACTCAGTTTTCAGATATGTTCCTGAGAGAGTTTGTCCCTCAGAGCCTCAGGGACGCCTGGTGCATGGAGTTTAAGCATCTGTGCCAGGCACCATGACTATTTTGGAGTATGTTGTCCATTTCACTGACTTGGCTAGGCATGCACCAGCCTTGGTTGCTACAGTTCGTGAGAGGGTTCGTCGGTTTATTGAGGGACTCATTCCCAGCATCAGGTCTAGCATGGATCGCAAGTTGGAGATGGATATTTCTTATTAGCAGGTGGTCAGCATTGCTAGGAGAGTGGAGGGTATGCATGCTCGGAATAGAGAGGAGAGGGAGGCCAAGAGGTCTCGAGAGTTAGGCCATTATTCTGGTGCCCGTGCTCCAGCTCCAGTTCGTCATGGTAGGGATTATATGAGTCGCCCTATTCATTTAGTTCTTCTAGAAGCTAGGTATTCCAGCTCCTCCTAGACCTCAGGAGCCTTATTATGCACCTCCAGTACCTAGTGCGCCTCTTACACGAGGTGCTTTCAGTAGTTAGTCCAGCAGACCTGGCCCAAGCCAGTCACAGTTGCCATGTCCTCCCAAAGCTTATTTTGAGTGTGGTGACACAC